GAGGGTGGATGATGGTGGTGGGTTAGTGATGGTGGTAGAGGGTGGTAATGGGTATGGTGGTAGGAAGGGTGGTAGTGATGTGGTAGGGTGGTAGTGATGGTGGTAGAGGGTGGTAGTGATGGTAGTAAGGGTGTAGTGATGTGGTAGAGGGTGGTAGTGATGGTGAGGTAGTATGTGGAAGGTGGTAGTAGGGTGGTAGTGGTGGTGTAGTGATGGTGGTAGAGGGTGGTAGTGATGGTGTAGAGGATGGTTGTGGTGAGAGGGTGGTAGTGATGGTGGTAGAGGGTGGCAGTGATGGGTGGTGATGATGGTGGTAGAAGGGTGGTAGTGGTTGTGATGTGGTAGAGGGTGGTAGTGATGGAGGTGTATGATGGAGAAGGTAGAGGTGTGTAGTGATGGTGGTAGAGGGTGTGGTAGTGGTTGTAGATGGTGGTAGAGGGTGAAGTGGTTGTGATGGGGTAGAGGGTGGTGAGTGGTAGTGATGGTGGTAAAGGGTGGTTATGTGGATGGTGGTAGAGGGTGGTAGTGATGAGTGGTAGATGGGTGGGGTAGGTGATGGTGGTAAGGGGGTGGTAGTGTGGTGGTAGAGGGTGGTGTGATGGTGGTAGAGGGTGGTAGTGATGGTGGTAGAGGGTGGTAAGGGATGGTGGTAGAGGTGTGGTAGGGGATGGTGGTAGAGGGTGGTAGTGATGGGGTAGAGGGTGGTAGTGATGTGAGAGGTGAGGGTGGTAAGGTGATGGGGAGTAGAGGGTGGTAGTGATGGCAGTAGAGGGTGGAAGTGAGTGGCGGTTTGAATAGGGTGGTAGTGATGGCGGTAAAGGGTGGTAGTGATGGCGGTAAAGGGTGGTAGTGATCGGAGGGGTGTATGCGGTAGTGGTAGTGATGGTGGTACAGGGTGTAGTGATGAGTGAGTGAGTGAGGGTGTAGTGATGGCAGTAGAGGGTGTTAGTGATGGCAGTAGAGGGTGGTAGTGATGGTGGTAGAGGGTGGTAGTGATGGCAGTAGAGGGTGGTAGTGATGGTGGTAGAGGGTGGTAGTGATGGCAGTAGAGGGTGGTAGTGATGGTGGTAGAGGGTGGTAGTGATGGCAGTAGAGGGTGGTAGTGATGGCAGTAGAGGGTGGTAGTGATGGCAGTAGAGGGTGGTAGTGATGTTGGTAGAGGGTGGTAGTGATGGTGTAGAGGGTGGTAGTGATGGCAGTAGAGGGTGGTAGTGATGGTGGTATGATGGCAGTAGAGGGTGGTAGTGATGGTGGTAGAGGGTGGTAGTGATGGCAGTAGAGGGTGGTAGTGATGGCAGTAGAGGGTGGTAGTGATGGTGGTAGAGGGTGGTAGTGATGTTGGTAGAGGGTGGTAGTGATGGTGGTAGAGGGTGGTAGTGATGGCAGTAGAGGGTGGTAGTGATGGCGGTAGAGGATGGTAGTGATGGCGGTAGAGGGTGGAAGTGATGGCGGTAGAGAATCTTCAATAAAGGTAAAAGAGATTTAAATGTTCATTTATCCTTTTTATTAGTGCTTTATATTCATTTCTCATTGTTTTCTGTATGTAAAACTATAGTTATTCTCTATAAACTGTATTTTTTTTTTAAATATTTTTGGGTGTCTGGAACAGATTAATTGGATTTACATTATTTCTTATGGGAAACATTACTTCAGTTTTTGTACAAATCAGTTTTCGGCTGACCTTCTGGAATGGATTAAAGATGAAAACTGGGATTCCACTAAGTGAATATTCATAGTAAGATTCATGTACAGTTTTCAGCATATTACAATATGAAGTTGAGTATGTATCCTGATGACACAAATACCAATTATGCCCATGTTCCAGTATGCAACATTCCTGTCTATCTTCTACTCAGATTGAGTAAGCTTTCTCTATTACTTTGGAAAATTATTAAGTTCTCTCTCTGATGATAGGCAGACTAAGTAAGCTTCTATTGCTGTATTAAATAGATTTTGAGTAAGCTTTATCTATGTCCTTTTAAGATCAGAGTGAGTTCTGTCTACTGCAGCATTCAGAGTCATCTTCCTTCACAACAAGGAGAGGTTGTGTACTGTTACTCCAGCTGTACTTTCACACTGGTAATTTTTTCCAATGAAGGAAAATTGAACTGTAAATTTGAAATATCCAAAAAAAAAAAAAAAGAGATACACAAGAATACTGTAAGAATGTAAGATAACATTAAAATCTCACATCTTACACCAAATCTATAGGGATAAGCAGGTCAAAATATATTCGCAGTTGAGGTAAAATGCTTAAATGAACAAAATTCAAACCTAAAACCCAATATTTCTAAGATTTACCAGTCCACTGTACTGGCCACCTTGCAATAGGCCATAATTCCTTAGAAGATTATAATTCTTTATAACCCTCTATAGTAATGTGTGTAGCTTTATGGGATGTCAATCTTCAAACTGCTGGGCTGCAGGTTAGAGTTTCTCTTACTTCTTAAATCATTATGAATTTCTCAGTAAGCTACAAACTTAATAAAGGTTGACCATCACTAATCCGGCATCACCAGGACCTGCAGGGTGCCAGATTAGCGATTTTGCAGGATTACAGAGTGGTCAGGCTAGAATACACTCAACTCAACAGCGATATTTAGGCAATGGCGATTTTGCCCACTTGAAGCCCTATTTTTTGGCCCATTTCATTGTTCCAGTCTACCAAACCCATAGCCATTTCACTAGTATTCCTTCCATTCTGTTGATTGGGCACAAGAAACCACCCATTTACCTATTTCAACTAACAAATACAGTGGTCAGAAATCAATAATTTGACCAATTTCACACACATTTCAAGAGATGCTAATTTCAAAGCAGGGTCTGGAATAAACAATGCAAACATTCCTGGCACTAAAATAACATTCTCTCTGTTCATTAGTCACCTCTCCAAGCCTCTCTTATATTACACTTGCTATCCATTTTGAATTTTTATTCACACAAAACATAGAAGATTTACTGTTATGCAGACTACTGCATTATTGTAATAACTGTATAAATAATGTCAACCAATTTGTGACCGTGTATTAAACCAGCTATTTGGACATGTACTGGACGGTGATGTCATTTGTTTACTCCTGAACATCGGCAAAAATCAAACATTTCCACTACGTACTTGGAACTCAATTTCTAGGTACTTTCCATCCTAAAACCAATCAAAATCATATTTATTTCTGTAATATATCTTCCACTCTATCAAACGAGACCAAAAAAACAAGAATACAACCATAAAAACCATATGAAAATACATTGCAAATGTTGCTGTTTTACACCAAACACAGTTGCATTTTTTCTCATGCACTGTGTGCTGCAGGATTTTTTTATATAGTGCATAATTACTAAACAGACCTATTCTCTCATATGTAGGCCCAAATTTACCAGTCACAGCTTACCAGAGTGAGGTGAGTCATGGCGACCGACAGTGGCTTCAAAGCCACCTTATCTTTTATGGACAATGTATGGTGTATGTGCTTTACATAACAAGAAGCATCTGTTTTATTCATTGGAACCATGGCTAGGGCTAAAAGTGAGCAGGTTATAACAAACGTGAGGAGAAGAATCAATTGAATGACTCTGATGCAGCAAGTAGCACCACACAAACAGTAGCGGAAGGTTGGTGTTTGAAAACCTTAGGAATTTGAAATTTATGGCTAGCTGAAATTAGTGCTGGATTTATGATGTGAACTGGATTACTGACTGCCGGATTAGTTGATGGCCATACTTGTAACTGTCATTACTATACTCATGGGGAAACCATAGTCATACAGCATCTGAGAATGGGAGCCAATATGGTTTGGTCCAATTAAGGGGGAAGGTAATGCCAAATTCTTGAAATAAGTATTCAGAATGTCTCTTGAGGTAGTCTCAAGATATGTTGGTTTATAAGTATGATGGCATGTTGAACTGTTTATGATGGCATGTTGAACTGCTTATGATGGCATGTTGAACTGCTTATGATGGCATGTTGAACTGCTTATGATGGCATGTTGAACTGCTTATGATGGCATGTTGAACTGCTTATGATGGCATGTTGAACTGCTTATGATGGCATGTTGAACTGTTTATGATGGCATGTTGAACTGCTTATGATGGCATGTTAAACTGCTTATGATGGCATGTTGAACTGCTTATGATGGCATGTTGAACTGCTTATGATGGCATGTTGAACTGCTCATGATGGCATGTTGAACTGCTTATGATGGCATGTTGAACTGCTTATGATGGCATGTTAAACTGCTTATGATGGCATGTTGAACTGCTTATGATGGCATGTTGAACTGCTTATGATGGCATGTTGAACTGCTTATGATGGCATGTTGAACTGCTTATGAGGCATGTAACTGTTATGATGGCATGTTGAACTGCTCATGATGGCATGTTGAACTGCTTATGATGGCATGTTGAACTGCTCATGACGGCATGTTGAACTGCTTAAGTGTTATTACAATTATCCAAATATACAGTCCAAAGAAAATTTTGTGTATACTCTATAATGGTGTAGACACTAGACATATTAAATAAAAATGTTTATCCCAAACTTGAAGATAAGCTGTATTAAAAATTCATTTATAAGTAACATGAAGCAAGTCTTGCAAACTAAAAAAAAAAAAAACATTAAATTAATTTTATTAAAAGTTTATAAAAACTGTACCCCACCATACATTCCTCTCAGAAAACAGGATAAAACTGACCAGTCTGCCAGGTAGAAACATTATGGCAAAAAAATATATAAACAAGTTATGGACTGAAATATGAGTGCAAAGAAACCTAAATCACCATTAGAAAAAGAACAAGGATAAATCACTAAAAGTGGGTAAACGTGTAACATATGCATCAACTAGAACACTAACTTACCAATGAAAAAGTGTGTAAACAAGATTCAGAATAACAAACAGCTGCTCACAGATTCACATTGAATTCATGCTGCTGAGTGTCCTCTCCTTTCTACCGAGTACAGTACCAAGCCACTATTAAAAAGGACAAAATGATGTCACACTTACCATCTCTCACGTCCCCTGACTCAATTTCATACAATCCGTCTGCAAAGTAATCTAATCCTTCATTTTCTGAGCGTGACCTGGCTCCCTCTGAGCGGGACTTCCAACCGGAGTTTATAAAAGTGTTGAAGTTGGCACTGGGGTCACTGAGGCGGCGCTGGTGAAAACATCATACAAAAAAATCTGTTTTGATTTTCCTAAATCATATTATAAATTACATAAGTGTGAAGTAATACAAGAAAGTCAAAAGAGCATTAGGTTGCCAGGTATAAGACAACAGTTAATATTAGGAAGTAAAGAAAGTTGAGCAAGTTTCCTAAAAGTGTCGTCTTATTGTCAGTGCTGTATAGCATATTGAAAAAGAGAATTAAAAGTTCATACATAAGATATTTAATATCAAATACACTACAATAGGTTAACAACCTACAATTTGAATTCCCGGTGTTTCAACTCTCAAACAATAGTATAAAAATGGTTGTGTCACACCTGTGCTGCATTTCAGCAGCTGTAAAAGCAAAATTGGCTCACATGTACGTACCTCATTTGTAAGCGTGGATATGTCTAACTTAGATCTTTGTATGTTGGGACTGTCTGTGTACAACAAAATCTAGGTTAAGTTAGGTAAGGTTCTTATATCGAGATGCAAGATGGAAAAGAATGGAGCACAATGCCCTCATGCAATAACCAGAAGAAAATACAGTGGGTGTTAAGTCAACAGTACACATACTAAACAAATGTCAGTGTCAACTGGATGCCCTCACCTTGGTACTCGAACTTAATTCATTCCCGGAGCCTGTAAGAGTGCCAATCTGAGTACTGAACAAATTTTTCTCAACAAATTTTCTTTTTTGTTGGCTGTTACCACTAATTTTCTTAAGCCCCATGGTAACTTATTTATACAATATAAAAAAAAAGCACCAAAAAATGTGAAACAAACACTAAATAGTTTACAGCAAAGTTCTCACAGGTCGTGTTTGTTTGGTCGAGTTTCAAGCCAACAAACATGACTACCAAGCGATTTTTGTTTTTACCAAACAAAGCATTCAAATACCAAATTGTTCAAGTAGGGAGCTGTTCAAGTACCAAGGTTCCACAGTACTATATAATGAGAGGCACATCTGTTGACCATCCTGAGGATACTAACTAGAAGAATCTGTCTGAGGCTCTACCCCATATAGTTCAGATTATCAATCACCCACTGTATGTCCAAGATGCAGTAATGTGGCAGTGGTGGACGAGGAGGAGGAGGAAGTAGAACATGTGAACACTAACCATAACGTGACAAAGATGGTGAGCCTTCAGTGACTTGAGAAACTTATGCTAATTTGTATTCTACTTTCTGGATGGTTGCTGTTAAATAATTCATCTAACAATTGTCTTATGAGGAGGAGGTTGAAAGAACAGAATGAAAAAGCCAAATCTCAAAAATGATGAAAAAAAAAAAAAAATACTAGTTGACAAGGGTGTGATTATAAATATTGAGAATTCTTACTTTATAACCAAATAATATACATTTAAAAAATATCTCTTATGTAGGAAAACACGAGAAGTTTTGAGTCTGGTGATAGGAATGACAAATCAAAGATATTCTTCTTCCAACAAACTGACCTTATCCCACCAAGACAGGGTCCCCCCCCCCCCCAAAAAAAAAAGCTTTTCTTAAATTTAGTAATATATACAGGAAAAGGGGTTACTAGCTCTTTGCTCCAAGTATTTTAGTCACCTCTTACAACATGCATGGCTTATGGAGGAACAATTCTGTTCCACTTCCCCATGGAGAACATCATGGATAGTTATTTTAATATTATTATTAACACATAGGCTGCTTCCCACCAAGGCAGGGTGGCCTGAAAAAGTAAAACTTTCATCATTCACTCCATCACTGTTTTGCCAGAGGCATGCTTACACTACAGTTATAAAACTGCAACATTAACACCCTTCCTTCAGAGTGCAGGCACTGTACTTCCCATCTCCAGGACTCAAGTCCAGCCTGCTGCTTTCCCTGAATCCCTTCATAACTGTTACCTTGCTCACACTCCAACAGCACATCAAGTCCTAAAAACCATTTGTCTCCATTTGCTCCTATCAAATACGTTTACGCATGCCTGCTGGAAGTCCAAGCCCCTCGCACACAAAACTTTCTTCACCCCCTCCCTCCAACCTTTCCTAGGCCAACCCTTAGCCCATATTTATATACAGATTTATATACTCTCCAAGTCATTCTATTTTGTTCCATCCTCTCTACATGTCCAAACCACCTCAACAACCCCTCCTCAGCCCTCTGGATAACAGTTTTAGTAATCCTTAACTTCCTCCTCATTTCCAAACTACTGATTCTCTGCATTATATTCACATCACACATTGCCCTCAGACATGACATCTCCATTGCCTCCAGCGTTCTCCATGCTTCACACCCATATAAGAGTGTTGGTATAACTATACTCTCATACATTTCCCTCTTTGCTTCCATGGATAATGTTCTCTGTCTCCACAGACTCCTCAGTGCACCACTCAGCTTTATCTCCTTATCAATTCTATGATTCACCTCATCTTTCACAGATCCATCTGCTGACAAATCCACTCCCAAATATCTGAATATATTCACTTCTTCCATACTCTCTTCCTCCAATCTGACATCCAACCTTTTGTCATTTATCTTTTTATCCTTATCACCTTACTCTTTCCTACAATTACTTTTAATTTCCTTCTTTTTTATACCTATCAATCTCATCCATCAACCTCTGCAACTTCTCTTCAGAATCTCCCAAAAGCAGTGTCATCAACAAAGAGCAACTGTGACACCTCCCACTGTGTTAGGTTATCTTAACCCTACACCTCCTCCCAACACCCAAGCATTCACCTCTCTTACAACCCCATCTACAAATCTATTGAACAACCATGGTGACATCACACATCCTGTCTAAGGCCTACTTTTACTGGGAGATAATCTCCTTCTCTCCTACATGCTCTAACCTGAGCCTCACTATCCTTGTATAAACTCTTCACTGCTTTCAGTAACCTACTGCCTATTCCATACATTTGCAACATATGCCACAGTGCCCTCCTATCATATGCCTTTTCCAAATCCATAAATGCCACAAAAACCTTTTTACCTTTACTTTTTACCGCTCACGTATGTTTCACTGTAAACACTTAGTCCACACACCCCCTACCCTTCCTAAAGCCTCCTTGTTCATCTGCTATCCTGGTCTCCATCTTGCTCTTCTTTCTTTCAATAACTCTACCATACACTTTACCAGGTATACTCAACAGACTTTTTCCCCTATATTTTTTTTACACTCTCTTTTGTTCCCTTTGCCTTTATACAAAGGAACTATGCATGCTCTCTGCCAATCCCCAGGTGCCTTACCCTTTTCCATACATTTACTAAATAAAAAGTACTAACCACTCCAAAACTATATCCACACCTGCTTTTAACATTTCTATCTTTATCCCATCAATCCCAGCTGCTTTACCCCCTTTCATTCTACCCACTGCCTTGCACACTTCCCCCCCCCCACTCACAACTGGTTCTTCCTCACTCCTACAAGATGTTATTCCTCCTTGCCCTATACACGAAATCACAGCTTCCTTATCTTCATCAACATTTAACAATTCCTCAACATATTCTCTCCATCTTCCTGATACCTCTAACTCTCCATTTTATAACTCTCCTCTTCTATTTTTAACTATCAAATCCATTCATTCTCTAGGCTTTCTCAACTTATTAATCTCACTCCAAAACTTTTTCTTATTGTTGATAACATCTCTCCCACTCTGTCATTTGCTCTCATTTAACTTTCTTTCACCACTCTCGTAGCCTCTCTTTTTCTCTCCATACACTCCTCCCACCTTGCATCACTTCTACTTTGTAAAAACCTCTCGTATGCTAACTTTTTCTCTCTTACTATTCTATTTACCTCATCATTCCACCAATCACTCTTGTTCAATCCTGCACTCACTCTCCTGTAACCACTCTAACACTACATTCTTAAACCTACCGCATATATCTTCAACCTCATTGCCTATACAGTGGACCCCTGGTTTGCAAAGCCATCGGTATCTGATAAATACGGTATCCGAAGCATTACATCACAAAAAATTTGCCTCGGTTCCCGTTACAAAACCTGGTATGCGATACGATTCGTACGAGACGTGTCCACGTGTGGCCTTAACTGCCCCATGTGTGCCAGTGTGCGCGCATCTAAGGATACATTCGGTACATTCCATATTATCCATATTATCACTGTTTTTGGTGCTTGTTTCTGCAAAATAAGTCACCATGGGCCCCAAGAAAGCTTCTAGTGCCAACCCATCGAGACCAAGGGTGCTAATGACTACTGAAATGAAGAAAGAGAAAAATTCCAAGTATGAAAGTGGAGTGCGTGTGTCGGAGCTGGCCAAGTTGTATAGTAAACCGCAGTCAACCATCTCTACTATAGTGAGCAGGAAAACGGCAATCAAGGAAGCTGTTCTTTCAAAAGGTGCAACTGTGATTACGAAACAGCGACCACAAGTGTTAGAAAATATTGAGAGACTGTTATTGGTGTGGATAAATGAAAAACAGATAGCAGGAGATAGCATCTCTCAAGCGATCATTTGTGAAAAGGCTAAGCAGTTGCATGAGGATTTAATTAGAAAAATGCCTGCAACTAGTGGTGATGCGAGTGAATTTAAGGCCAGCAAAGGCTGGTTTGAAAGATTTAAGAATCGTAGTGGCATACATAGTGTGGCATACATAGTATGATGAAAATCACCCTGACACAGCTACTGCAAACCGTGTTGGCAACCTGTACACTGACAATGTTGTGAACCACTTTAGGAAAGTCATAAAGGAACGAGAGGTACAGGCCTCTATGGACAGATATGTTGTGCGACAGAAGTCCAGTGACTCTCAAGCTGGTCCTAGTGGCATTAAAAGAAGAAGGGAAGTAACCCCAGAAAAGGACTTGCTACCTCAAGTCCTAATGGAGGGGGATTCCCCTTCTAAACATTAAAAACTTCAACACTCTCCTCCTCCCATCCCATCAATCATCACCAGATCTTCATTAAAGGTAAGTGTCAATTATTCTATTGTGATTATTCTATTGTTATTATTGTTATTGTAATTATTATACTGCATTAAACTTAATATTTCATGTGGTAAGTTTTTTTTTT